GCATCCAAGAACAGTATACATTATTTTTTCCCCTAAACCCTGTTTACCTTTAAAAGAATTTCTAAAGCAAATTCTCCTTCAAAAGGAGTGAGAGCAATTAGAAAACCAGAGTGTGCGAGTGAATGCGTTGTATATCTCTTCCACTGAAAGGAGAACCCGTTTTCACTCCAAAGTACATTATTATGTTTTGTGTGTATGTGTGTGTTGGAAAAGAAAATACAGCTCTGGGTAGAGTCTCTAAACAGAAAATTGCTTCATTACAGTCATGATTCATACTGACTTCTGGAGAGAAGGGGGGAAAGAGCTTTGAGTGAAGTTGGCAGAGAAGAGGGAAGAAGGAAAACAATTATCTTAGATTGTGAATAAGCTTTTTGAGTGACAAGATTGCTTGATATGGAAAATTGGCGTAGAGAAGTTTTCATGCCTCTCCTTTGCTGATTCACTTTCCGAAACGAAGACAAGCCATTGGGGAACAGATCGCTTAAATGAATGATAAGGGATTGTAATTTCACCAGTGGAAATACAAAATCCTCCAGTTTGAGAAATAGAACTCTGGGGCTACCACTTACCTCAAAAGGTGATAGGTTACCCTTGATTAGATGGGCTCCAGGAGATGCTAGGTAGATATTTTTCCAAGATTCTTTCAATTGGACTCCAGCAGTGACGACAGGATGCCGGCTTAAATAATCCTTTCCAGCAGGACAATTCCGCAATTCTATAAACAGACAAAATTCTACAACAGACAAAAATAGCACTGATGGTGCTCACAATCAAGCTTTGAGAGCACCAGGGACTCCACAGACTAAAATAGTTCAGATGTACCCTGTTCTATACTTTTATTTATTTGCTTATTTTTGCCTGGTATTAGGAATATTTTTACGATATCAAAAGGAATTGCTGGACCATGTAATCAACAAAATGTACAGGAAGAATCAAGACTCTTGTTTGTTGGGTCCTTGGCAGTCTCTGAGCTTGGTTGTTTTCTTGCAGATGTTTCCTTACCCAACTAGGTAACATTATCAGTGCTAGAAGGCAGTGAGGTTTGCTCTCTGTTTACATACAATGGGCTTGCCCTGTCAATGTGGGTAGAAACTGGTTCCTTGATTCCTTGTACATAAACAGAAGGCAGATCCCATTCCCTTCTAGCCTTGATGATGTTACCTGGTTGGGTAATGAAGCATCTGCAAGAAAACAACCAAGTTTAGACACCACCATAAAGGACCCCATAAACAAGAGTCTTGATTCTTTCTGTACATTTTGTAGATTACATGGTCCAGCAATTCCTTTTGATATCATAAAAACCTTCCTAATACCAGGCAAAAATAAGCAAATAAAGTATGCAATGGGGTACATCTGAACCCCACAGTTCAATCCCGAGCTACCAATATTCTCTTCTGTTGGATTCTTGTTTATTCCTAAGCCTTAAGCATATTCATTTCAAGAATGCATCTGAGCCAAATTAATTCATATTGCTGTGTTTTTTTCCAATGTTCACAAAAACGTTGAATTGCTGGCATGTCCACTCTTTCCTGTATTTTCAATTTGCTCTCCCTCACCTGCTTTTGTGATGTCACAATGCAGCCAAGCTAATTAATTTCCTAGTGGTATTGTATCATCCCATCCACTGTTTGTGATTTGAAATTGGCTGCTATTACCCCTGAGATTAAAGCAAAAAACAGAGATTGAAGCAACAGTTAGAGAAGAAAACACCAGTAAAATAGCACCATCCTAGGGAAGCAATTTTTGCCTTTTATATTTTTATATTTAAGGTAGACTTCAGAAAATCTGTATAGGTGACTATTCAGTGCAGCCTTGTCTAAGGACAATTTTCTACAATATAATTTAGATTAAAAAAACAGATGGGAAATAAGATTTATTATTTAGGTGGGCAACGTTTGGTGAATGTCACGTTTTCTCTTTTTGAAATAAGCAGAAAGTGGGGGGGGAGCAAACTGGATGTTTTGATTGGAGGGACAAAAAAAAAAGATGGAAAATCACTTTTTATCTTAGCAGCTCAGATTCCTACTACTGGTTTAGACAACAAATAGTTTCATTAAAAAAAACTTTATGTACTGCTTAAAATTCTAAATGTCTGTTCAACTGACATGTTTCACTGAAAATCAATTATCTGTGAACTAGCCTGATAGCCACCAAGAGAAGTAAATCAGAACTTAGTTCCACCCTGGGATTCATGGGAAAAAAGGACTTCTTTGCCTTCTTTCATTACTGACAATTTGCTAAGCTGTAATGTGACTTATTGATTGGGAGTATTGTATGGTGTCAAGCCAGAAAGATAGATGGTAGGTAGATAGATAGATAGATAGATAGATAGATAGATAGATAGATAGATAGATAGATAGATAGATAGATGATAGATAGATATTGATTGAATGATTGATTTTAGGAACTATTTTTTTTTACAGCTTAGCATAGGGTCCATGATCCTTTTCCAAAGTTGATGACCAGCCACCTGAAGTGCAGGTTCTCATCTTCTCAACAGCTTTTCTTCTCCATAATTCAGAGCCCCCCCCCCAAATCCAAGCTGCATTAGATGGAAAGAGAAGTCCAACCAAGCTTCTCTTGAATCCAGCTTGACTCTTGGGTGACTTTGTGAACACTTCCATGTTGTTTCCTTGGCTACAAATAAGTAGTCTGATTTAGAATTTCTTAGTCTCTTCCATCTAAGTACTACAAGGCCCAATCTTGTTTAGTCTTTGGAGATTAAATTAAGTCAAATCCTGCTTTTTAAAAAATGGAGGGGACCCACTTTTAGACATTGGATTTGTTTGTTCACTTGGTGTTCTCCAGAGTTAAGTTTCTCAATTGTTTTCCGTTTTTTGTTTTTCCCACAAATTTGAGAGAGTCTGCTGGCATATGACTTTCCTCTGGAGTACATTCCATTTTCCACACTAAGCACCGCTTAATTGGGAGACATCGCTTCTGAAAAGGATTTGATGGGTTGTTATTCTTTTGTCAGCAACATCATTTTTTTTTTGCTAGCAAAGGAACCTGTTAGGTGGAAGATGGATGGAGGTCTACTGGAGAAGACCTCATCAGATCCATGCCAAAATGCTCAGATACTTCTGATGCAACTGAAATGGTCAACCAATTTGAAATTCCCTGACACGGCTGTCAAAAAAAACAACCCAATCCACCAGCTACAATGATGGAATTGAAGCTATGGGTCACAGCACATACAAAACAGGCAGAGTTTTGACTCTACTGTTGTGACACCCATATTGAGTTTGGACCATACAGAAAAGAGCAGACAGAATAAATGCTATTTTTAGGAGCATTTTTCTCACAATCTCCCTGCCCTGAGTTTATTTCTGAAACAACCTCAGAAAAGATCCATATGTGCAGCATTTCTGGTTTTTAGCCAGGCAACTAGAGTTGAGAAAAAGACAATTTAAAGTGCCTTTTGGAATCACTTCCTCTAGCAAGCTCTAGTTTATTTGACAGCCTTTTTTTAAAAAAAAAAAAATCAGACAAATTAGAACAAGGTATCTTTTCTGAGACTCCGGCAGATGTTAGGATTTTATACATGGTGATTAAGCCATACCTGCATCTGAGATTTTTCATGAAAAACAACAATAACCCAGCATCAGTGAGAAAAAAAAAAAGGCAATTGCAGGGATGTTTCATATGGAACAATGGAATTTAATTAGGGCAGTGCGTTCAGAGTTATTCAGAAGATCGCATTTCTTCTACATGTTATTAAGGATGATTTAGTTTTTTCTTAGCTCCCTGTTTATGCCATCACGTGGCTGGAAGCCTACAACCCACAGCAATGTCTGAACCTCACCAAATGCAATGTATTCTAGGGTTAAGTCCACTGGTGACTTAACCCAGGGTGTGAACCCACTTCCAAAATTCAGTAACAGGATGTTTCCATAGAAATCCATAAATACCTGCATCCTTTTGCTCAGCATCCAGAATCAGGCTTGGTCTGTCAGACAACCTCAGATAACTTTCTTTTAGGTGCTTTGAGGGAAGCAGGAGGATTACTTTATTTTATTTTTAGTTCTTGTTAAAAGCAACCTTAGAATGTCATGCAAACCTAGCTCAGGGTGGCTTACGCCATAAACCATGAGTCGTTCAACCCAATGAATCCACTTTGCATGAGTGAGCTCCGGCTCCCGCAAAGGAGGGTTGTAAACCCTGGCTTATGTTTTGTGCAAGCCTAATCATTGTAGCTTGCACAACAAACCATGGCTTCTGGCAGTGTGCCAACCCTAAGCCCCCTAGGTTATCCCGGGACACCTGTACACGTGGGAAGCATCCGTGAAAGCTCTCCTGCGTGGGCACAGAAACAACGCATAACCCCTCCTTCCCAGGTACGGGGGGGGGGGAATGGGGCGTCTTCCATGCAGCATCCTTTCTTCCCAAATAGCGAGAGCATCCCTTCCAAATCTCTTTTCTTATTTTTTTTCCCCCCTTCCCGCCCTTAAACTGCTCCTTTCAATCCCAAAGGAGGGTTAAAGCACCACGTTCACACGCGGGCACCAAAACCCAAAGCCCCCCCAAGAGCATCCGCAGACCAAACTCCATCAAATCAACTCCCCCCCCCCAACGACCCTACAATCCCTTAACGACGAGCAGATCGCTTGATGGAAGCCCCCAAGGGGGGCGACCGCTGCCGTCCAAAGACTAGGCGGACGTCGCCCCTTCCCCGTCCCCAGGCAAAACCCTGCGGCAGCTCCCCCCTACAGCTTTCTCCACCCCCCCCCCCCCAAAAAAATCCCGGCTCCGGTTGCGCTCTTAAGAAAAACAAAAAAAGTCCCTGCGCCTCTACGCCACGGGGTACGGTAAGCAGCCGGCGGGCACGCCCCGAGCCCCCGGCTGTCCGGCACCTCCGCCGCGCGCGCCCCCGCGATGGTATTGGGAGGACGGGGGGGGGGGGAAGAAGACGGCCGGCCAAGCCAGGCGCGCTCCCGTCCTGCGGCTCCCCCCTCCCCTCCTTCCCCTTCCCGGCGCGCGCGCCCCCGTCCTCTTAAAGGCGGCTCTCCAGCCCCTCCGCCTTCCTTCTGCCGCCGGAGCAGCGCCATGGCCAAGGAAGGAGCCCAGAAAGCCGAGGAGACGGAGCAGATGATCGAGAAGGAGGCGCCCGAAGGCGGCGGCGGCGGCTGCAACGGCAACGGCGGCGGCATCAGCGGCGAAGGCAACAGCGGCGGCGGCGGCGGCAGTCCAAAAGCCGGGGATGCCAAGGACATGCGAGCCGTGGTGCTCTCCGCCTTCGGGGGCCTCAACAAGCTCCGGGTGTCTAAAAAAGTGATGCCGGAGCCTCAGGAAGGAGAGCTGAAGATCCGCGTGAAAGCCTGGTCCAGTATTCTGGCTTATTTTTATTATTATTAATTAGTATTAGTATTTTAGTATTAGTATTTCAGTATTAGTATTAGTATTTTAGTACTAGTATTTTAGTATTAGTATTATTAGTATTATTATTCGGGTTAGCCAGCGGTCGTCTGGAAGCATCTTCCATCCTTTGCGTCTCTCCCTTTGGATTTGATGGGCAAACGGGCGTCTGGGTGGTGGGGGGGGGGAGATTGGAGACTCTTCGGCTCCAGTGTAGTGAATGACTAAGACAAGAACGGGTTGGTCCCATCTCCCCCCCCCCGAAAAAAAGAACCCTCCCTCCCCTCCCCCCATCCCCTTTTCATTCTCCAGCGACTTTTATCAAGTTCCAGCTCACCACCTTTGTTCTTGGCAATGGATGCCTTCCTTAACCATCAGGGAGAAAGAGCCTTTTAAAAAATAAATAAATATTATTTTTTTTTTTAAAAAAACCCACCTCTCTCCAAACAAACAAACAAACTGAGGCCTATTCCCAAGTTACAGAGCATTTGGTTAGAACAGCCTTTGACTCAGCAGCAAATGCAGCTCTGCCCGTTAAGTCATTGCTGGTAGGAAAATATGCACAAGATTGGAAGCAAAAATGACTTATCTTTTCCCCTCCCTTTCTCCCTCTTTTCATTTCTCTTCCTCCTTTCATCTCTTTCTTTCTCCCCCCTTTTTTTTCTCTCTCCCTTGGTGCTCAATAATCGGGTGACGGTGAATCTTAAAAAAAAATGTGAATCATTTTTGCCTTTTTTTCCAAAGGACTCGGTGTATTAAAAACCCTTTCAAGGTTGTTTTTTTTTTAACCTATCTGTGTATCAGGAAGCCTTTTCCAAGGGGAACAATATTTTGGTCTTTTTCTGGCACCTTCACATTTCTCTTACATCTGTGACCCCCCCCTTGCGCCCCCCCCTCTTTGCTATATGTGGATGTTGACTGCTAGATCGGGACTGATTGCCTTTGCTTCTGATAGCCTCAGTTTCTTTTCTTTGGTCAAGCTCATTAATAAATCCTCTTTTCCCCAGCCGGTCCCCTGCTCTATGCTTAATCCCTGTTTTCCCCTCCTAGCTAATTTTTTTACCCCTGGAAATTCTCTTATTGGAAAGATGCTGATGACAGGTAGACATAGGGCTACTACACACTGGAATTATTCAAGGGCCATAAAACTTGTTGAGAGATTGAGAGCTTGAGCAAACTGTGGGTAACATGTTGGCTTGGGATTTCTAAAAGTGAGCCGTAGAAATCAGAAAGAATGAGGAAGCAGGCTTGTAAAGCCAATGCTGGCTTGCTACCTCTTCTTGAACCCCTTGGCTTACTTGAAGGAAATGCACCTATTTAAGCAAACTAACTCATTGTGAGGCTGAAGGTAAGGTCCTTGAGTCGTGCTTGACTCCTGATGACTATCTGGGCAGAAACATGTGGTTTTTATGGGGGCACTATGGGAATGGTTTCCCAGTATCTTCTTCCTGATTATTTTAATCTACTCTGTGACCCTGACATTCCCTAGGATATCTAACTAACTAATTGTTCCTCTCTAGTTAATAGTTACGTTCAGTGCTGCTTAGCTTCCTAGCTCAAAGTTAAGTTGTTTTCATCTACTGAAAATACAATGTTTTTGTGTCCAACTTGGCTTAACCCAACTCCCTAAATATGCACTTTTGGCAAGAGGCAACCATCATTTGCTACTGCCTCCTTCTAGGATGTTCTGACAGTTTCCTCCTTTAGCTGGTTTTCTGTAGAAGTCTCCCATCCAGGGACTAACCAGGCCCAATGCTGCTTAGCTTTTGAGCTGACAAAAAATAGGTCAAGGGTGGATTGTGTTGCTTAGTTTCTTCTTGAAAGTATGTGACTGTATGAACTTAAACGTATTGTTAGCAAGAAGTCATGGGACTAATCCTGTTGGAACATTTTTGTTTCTTTTCCAGTAAAAAAAAAAAATTAAAAGAGATTAGAGTAGGACACTATACGTTTGTGCACACAATCTTTCTCCGGCTTTAAATTGTTGGTCTTAACTGTTTTTAACATCTTGGAGGTTTTGATGTTATGTTTGTTGTTAAATCAGCAGGATTTATTTACTTCTGCTCCACAAGGCTATTCCAAACAATGAGGATAATTGGAAGGAAAGAGAACTAGGAAGTGGCACATAAAAAAGCAATTTAGAATTAACCACCAACCCATCTCCTCCGTCTTCCTGTTCCATATTAAAACTGCCTTCTCCTAATGATAGGAATTTGCTCTGGCAGTCAAAACTTTATTATAGTCCTAAACTAGCATATGGAAGGTGGGATACAAACAATGATTTTTACAAAATTAAAATAAAAAATAAAAAAGTTACACAAAATTAAAAAAACAAAAATATATTTTTTAAAAGCCTATATTTTTTAAAAAAAAGACTGTATATGTTTCTCTCTCTCTCTCTCTCTCTCTCTCTCTCTCTCTCTCTCTCTCTCTCTCTCTCTCTCTCTCTCTCTCCATACACACATATATATATATGTATCACAATACAGTACAAACATAAAAGGGCCAAGTTTGAAGACCCCTACTATATGTTCTCCCCATGGCACATGTGCTACTATCCTATAGATCAAAAGCAGAGATGTAGGAATTATTCGGTAATCATATAATCATAGATTATAGTACCCATTTGATCTGTAGCACAAATACAGTATGTATGCTACAGTTTTAGTTAGGTGCACGTTTCAAAGAACACTCAAAGTTAATTCACTCTGCCAAGCTTTGGGGGAACTGTGCTAAGGTAAGGCTGAGTTGAGTCCTAGAAGCCCTACCCAATTTGGGCCCTGGTTAAAAACATGTTGGGAAGTCACAAGTTTATTGAGAGGCTCCAATTTAATGGATCTGTTAGTAGAATGAGCATGAGTTGGGAGAACATTCAGCTCTTTATGAAGTTATAGATTTTTCAAAATAATACTGTATGCAGAGAAGTGATTCAAAATGTCCTCCTCTCAAGGCTGAGCTTCAGAAGCTAAAAAACATCCCTGGAGCTTAAGTAGGAAATGCATCAGAGACTTGAACATCTCTGATACTCAGTATCAGGCATCCTTAGTCTATCCTGATAGCAAATACAACTCTGTACTGCCTTCTTGCATTGGCATCCATGCTAAAATGAAATTCCAGTTGAGAAGCATTCATGGATGAATGAATATCGATGCTCTGGCAGTATAAAGGGGCAGTGCAGATTTGGTATGAGGAAGGTATGTGAAGCATTTTCCAATGGAGTTCAGGAATAGACATATCTCCTATGTGCCACCAGGTCAGAAAATCACATTTCCAAATGTGGCTCCTATTACACAAAGTCCTGGCATTTTATTGGAAGGAAAAATAAATCAAGGTGAAATGCTGCAGTGCTTATTTTAGAAGACTTTAACCTTGAAAGAAGCATTATGGCTTGGGGTGGTGGGAGCAATGATTTGTGCTGCTAAGGACCAGGCATACGTTGGGGTCTGGTTGCTTATTTAAATCTGCCTACTTTTACTGATTCCCTAGAATTCTCCAATTCTCACTCGAAGTGTGAATAATTAGCTCAAATCATATATTTAACACATTTTGCAAAGAGCCAGTTCTCTTGAGAAGTCTATAATGTTGGTAGAAGTGGGAAGAATAAGAAGAAGAGGGCAGCCAACAGTAAGAACAATGGACCTGGTCCCAGTAGTGCAACAATAAGTGTGTCATTGAAAAGGTTGAAGGACCAGGCTGGGGACAAGTCATCTTGGAGAAAATCAGCCTATGGTGCTAACCTAGTGGCATACAATCAATCAATGATCATGGATTATGGACAGTGTCGTCCAAAACACTTGGAATGTATAGTTTGCCTACCCTTGGTAGAGAGGTGAATGCAATCTGATCTTGGATTGTGTTAAATTTCATTCTGCTTTAAAATGGTAGCTGGCTTTTCTTTCTCTAGTATATATTCTGGCTCCATTCCATTGCTTTGCTGCACCGTGGACTTGTCCTGCCTTATATTCCTAATATTCCTATTCAGTTCATTATAAAATATATTCTGCAAAGCAAAGCATCGTATTACTGTTTACCCAAGTCTTTACGTTTGGAAAAAAGCAGTGAGCAATGGGTTAGAGAAGAGTTTTGTTCTCCTCCTTTTTACTGTAATGCACGTTTGATTCAATAATATGCCAAGAGTTGTCTATTTCACCATCTCAGCATTTTATAGATTGGAGTCAGCCATTAAGAGTATTTCCGTTCTTTCTGCTAAAAAAAATGTTAACTCAATAGGACTGGGAGTAAGATAGCGAGAGAAAAAGAGTCTAACTGGAATGTAGGAAATCTTTAAAAAGCACACCAATAAAAAAAGAATGAGACAGCATTCACCAGTTTGAAGCCATTTTCAGCAAATTAGGCTTAAGTACTCAAAGAATAACAATTTTGTCTTTCAGTGAAACAAACAGCTTAGCTTCATTAAAAAAAAAAATCTCCAGTGCTGGGAGTAACCATGGTCTTATTTCCACTAACACGTTTAAAGGGAATTGAAAGTCTGAAGGATGGAATGGGGGTATTCAAATAACTTTGGCCAAAATCCTACACAATCTCGTAGGGTGCCACCAGTGTTTTAGATGGTGCATAGGTATAATCCACAAACCCAGGGAAACTATTGTAACAAGGAGGTATGGTAGTCCTCAATTTATGACCATTACTAAGAAAGACATTACTAAGAAAGACAGTAAGAAGAAATTAAAGAAATTAAAAGACGCTTGCTCCTGGGAAGGAAAGCTATGGCAAATCTAGACAGCATTCTAAAAAGCAGAGACATCACCCTGCCAACAAAAGTGCGTATAGCCCAGGCCATGGTTTTCCCAGTTGCAATGTATGGCTGTGAAAGTTGGACCATAAGAAAGGCTGAGCACAAAAGAATTGAGGCCTTTGAACTATGGTGCTGGAGAAGACTCCTGCGAGTCCCCTGGACTGCAAGGCGTCAAACCGGTCAGTCCTAGAGGAGATCAATCCCAACTGCTCTTTAGAAGGCCAGATCCTGAAGTTGAAACTCAAGTACTTTGGCCACCTAATGAGAAGGAAGGATTCACTGGAGACGAGCCTAATGCTGGGAAAGATTGAGGGCAATAGAAGAAGGGGACGACAGAGAATGAGATGGCTGGATGGAGTCACTGAAGCAGTAGGTGTGAATTTAAATGGACTCCAGAAGATGGTAGAGGACAGGAAGACCTGGAGGAACGTTGTCCATGGGGTCGCGATGGGTCGGACGCGACTTCGCAATTAACAACAACAAGAAAGACAGTCCATTGAGTTGCATCCCATTTAACCTTTCTTGCCACTATTGCCAAGCGAATAATGACAGTTATTAAGTGTTATTGTGCCATTAAGCGAGTCTGGTTTCCCCCATGGATTTTGCTTGTTGTTACAAATAGTGATCACATGATCACAGGCCAGTTGCCAACAAGTGCCCCAATTCTGATCATGGGATCATCACAGTGATTGTTGAAAACCTGTCATAAGTCACTTTTCCTCAGTATTGTCACAACTTTGAATGGTCACTAAACTATCTGGAGCGGGCTCATTGATAACCACATTTGATTAATAGCTCATGGATCAGCTTACACCGCCTTTTTGAAAGATTTGGGAGCATGGAAAACAATCAGATGAAGGTTACCCGTAATTTGTGGGAAAGAACATTTTGGGTTGGTAACTAAAACATGGTTGTAAATGGCATCATAGGAGTTTATTCAATGTCACTTTGGTTGTGTTTATCAGCTACCTTCGAATGTAGGCCTTCATATCTTCCCTTCTCATTTTCTTTCCTTACAGTGGCTTAAATTTTATTGATCTGATGGTTCGCCAGGGGAACATTGATAACCCACCCAAAACACCACTTATACCTGGATTTGAATGCTCTGGAATTGTAGAAGCTCTGGGTGACAATGTGAAAGGTTATGAGGTAATATGATGGTGCTTGAGAACAAAACAATATATCTATAAATTATGATAAACCAATGGTTCTCAACCTGTGGTCCGCAGACCCTTGGGGGGGGACGCAATGTCATCAGAGGGGGGTCCACAAAGGCTGGAAGAAATGTTATGATTTAAATCTTGAGTTAGGTCTTGGGGGTCCGTGGCCATGATCCATGGCCACAAAATGTATTTAATGGAGGGTCTGTGGTGAAGAAAAAATTAAGAACCACTGTAATAAACCATAACATGGCCTGTTTGGGTTTTATTATAATGTGATGCGTGTACCTATCTATCATTGCTTTGTGTTGTGTGTGGATCAGGTTATTGTAGGTTTAAGTATCCTGGCACACTACAGTGTCAGAACTCTGCCCAAGTGTTGAATGCTAAAGTATTGTGAATCAGTACCTCTTGATAAGGATGTAGTGGAATCCCCAAAATGGAACAAATCAATTAACCAGATATTAGTGAATTTCAAATGATGGTAGAGCATTTGATGATTAAATGGCCTTGTTCATCCCTCAGATTGAACCATAAAATGGTTTGTTTGCTTTGGGATTAGAATTACATATCCCTATTCCAATTTATGTTCTATAGCTACCAGGAGACTGGTTTTAAAATGGCCGGTTAGAAATATGTCTAAATATAACAGCTATATAACTATATATAAATAGAGCAAATGTGCAGCAGCAGTGAAATGGAAGCAATTTTAAAATGCTAGCGTCATAACACAATTCTCTCTTAAAAAACAAAACAAAATTCAAATTAGGAATGCTATTGTTGATGTAACCAATAGTAGAAGTACTGCAGAAACAAATAGATCATCATCATCACCATCATCATCATCCTTTAATGTCAATAATTATGCTTGGTTCTAACAGAATATAGACTCCTGGAGGAAAACTGAATAGAATGAAAATGAGAATCAAATAGGGAGAAGTTCTTAGTAAGAAACCTGAAAAGCCAACATGCTATAAAGGTAGATCTCAAATTTATAACCCACCAAGTCATTTTCTGGGGAAAAAAGATACTTAAAGGAAGGAGTGCAATGTGCAGGTCTCAGCTGACAAGGACTTACCACAGTGGACAATAGCATTCAGTGGGTTCATCCAAGACTGGCCAAGTTAGCCTTGCTCCCTCTTCTTCCAAGGACACCTCAAGTAGATAGATGCCTGCTTAGGGGAGGTGATGTCGGGATCCATAGACCCCATGCAGGCAGATGCTCAACCTCTGGTAGGAATTAGAAGGAAATGTCCCATCTGGAATTTGAGGGATTCACATTAAGCAGGGTTCCTTGCTTGCTTCCACATAGCCATCAGCTTCAATGGTCCCAGCTGCTCTGCACACAAGAACCAGCCCCAGCCATCCCTGCTGTCCAAGTGGCTTATATAAAATAACCCCAAATGTAGTTACATTTCATAGTAAACTTCATCTATTTAATATATGAATGCTTACCACCCTTATTTTCTTCATTCTTGACTTACTAGAGGTTTCATTGTTAAGGCCTTTGGGCTTTTGAGTTAATCTCAAATAATACTCAGGGCAATCTGAGTTTGAGATTTAAGCTGGAAAGGAAAGGCAATAATTTCTTTTGGGCCCTAAATCTGTTTTTCTTCCAAAATACAGTGAGAAATAACCCAGGGCTATTCAGACAATCAGAAGATAACTGCATTTACCTCGGTGCAGACTGCAGTCAAGACAGTAACTTATGAACTGTTAAACTGTCTACTATATCACCCTTAGTATTTGGCACATATACATTTTACTTGTCTTACTGAACAAGAGGCTGCAGACTTTCTCCTAAAAAAAATTAAAGGGAGGCAAACCTTTAAAATATTACCAACTTCTCAGCAGTAGCTATAGATTGTAGAATTTGAATGGTGCCCTCTTTTTTATTATTTATTGTTTCAAGATTGGCTTACCCTTGCATTCTTATGTTTTATAGCATACTTGTATTTTATTGATTTGGGACCATAACCAGTAAACATAACTAGCCTTCTGCCTTCTGCCCCAGTTGTCATTCAATGCCTGCATCCATCCCATATTCTCAAAATTTCCCATGTGCTTCTAACCATCAAAGATTGGGGTTCTAGAAACAGCTCACTGCAATTTGCTTGTTTGTGGCTTAGCGTGTTTTGTCCCAAGGATGCTTTTCCAAAAGGCAATGCTTTTTTTCCATGAAAACATTTTGCTTCTCATCCAAGGAGCTTCTTCAGTTCAGCCCAGAACTGAAGAAGTTTCTTGGATGGCAAATGAAATGTTTTCAAGGAAGAAAAACTAAGAAAGTCCAATTGCCTTCTGAAAAAGCATCGTTGGGACAACCATGATTTGGATTATTGAGAATCTCCCTAAACACATGTTTTTGTAAACTCAGTCAACTGTAGTTAAACTCAAGTCAGCTATAGTTGATTCTTCTTAAGCCAAATAGACTTTAACATGTTGGGTAAACAAACTAGTACAATATATCCATTCAACTGAAGAAACAAATGAATGCCCGCTAGTTATGACTGCAAGAAATTTTACTCCAAATCTGCAATTCATCAGCCAGTTGAATGAGTTTGTTTCCCCTTCTTCGGAGGAGGGGGCTCCCGTAACTAAGATATTCAACTTAATTCTAAGCTTTCACCCATTGTATGCAAATACGGTATAATTTTTTTATTTGTTTGTTAATAATGAAAGAAAACTGGTAAACCATTTCGTTTCACGTAAAAATTCTGCTTTTTGCTGATGGGGAAGAAGAGGTAGAAAAATGGACATGTCATCCTGTTTCAGTAGCATTTTACAAGTTTGTAATCTTTTCTGTATCCCAAGGCAGTTGAAATGTGGCACTACTCAAGATGCTGTAAATGTTTCCGTGCTATAAACCTCTCAACCCAGCCCCACACACAGCCTTTGAATGAAGAGTAGCTGGGCTCTAAAAGGGCACAGTAGAATTTGATCAAGATCTAAAAGCACTGTTTCAAAATAAATTAATACGTGGGAGATAAAACGAGAGGTGCTAGCCGTTTCATTTTCTCATTTTGAAAGGTCATCCCCCAAAAGACATGCAGAGCTAACAGAATATGAGATGATCTGTGATGGGAGATATAATCACTGATGGAGCATTTAACAGCCTTTAACATTTAATAGATGTCTTCTTTAAAAACAGAAGATAGGCTTTGCACCTGGTGGCATCTCTTTCAGTTCCCAGTATTGCTAGTTTATGAAAAGAATATTCGTTATTATTAAAAAATGTTTATAATGTCATAAATAACAGAATAAAACAATTACAAGATTTAAACATCACCAAGAAAGCAAAACATTAAAATTAATATTAAAATGGATAAAAGAACCAATGCATAGATAGGGTGGAAGTAAAATCTTGTACTTGTCTACTAGCCATCTCCAAAATGGGATAGTCGCATTGGGGCCCCAAGCCAGTTATAAATATAACTATTACTATAAATATGTAAGCTTACTTCTAAATAAGCATGGGTAGAACTGTACTCTATACAGCTAGGCAACCTTTGAAAGCAATGGATTGTATCTCACATTATGGCTGTGCCATGACACTGTGTTCTTGCTTGCTCACTAGCAATTATTTCATTTATTTTAATAATATACTTTTTGGAAGGAAAAAGTACAATGGGCCAAGCTAATTAAGTAACCAAAATATTTTTATTTCACATGTGTTCATGTGAAGAATCAGATGACTGTAGCAAAAGTCTTGAACTGTTACGTATAAGAAAGTCAGCTTTGCAGTTTAATTTCATTTTTTCCTTGAAAGCTGTAATCCTGCATTGACATCTAAATAAAACTGCATTGAGTACTTGAATATGCTATATAGAACGATAACATCCAGTTTTAAAAATTGATTTTTGCTATTTTATATGTGAAAACAGTCTTCCTTTCCCTCTCCCCATGTTTTATTGTATTAATACTTAAATATGAGCAAGGTAAGGAATGGATTCCTTCCTTAAAAACTATCAAAAGCAGCTGATAAAGTTGAATGTACTGTAGGCAGAAGACTGCAAAGATACAGATGTTGCCATTTGAATCAAACAGTGTTCTCTAAAACACAATTCAGCATAGTGATGCAGCTTATGCATGAATTTAATTCCACAGATATTAAGAATGCCAGGAAGGGGTGGATTTACAATCACTGTTAAATACTTTTCTGCCCTACCCATATGTGGTTGTAGCCCTAATCACTGGATGTTACAATCACCAAGGAATAACTGCCAATGTCTGAAACCAGCGTTTTGTGGGTAACTCTGAGGATTATCCAGAAGGTTGTGATCCGATTGTGTTTCTTTCAAATGGTTTCAGATTGGAGACAGAGTCATGGCCTTTACCAACTACAACGCCTGGGCTGAGGTTGTATGCACACCCGTTGACTTTGTGTACAAAATTCCCGATGACATAAGCTTCTCCGAAGCGGCGGCTTTTCCTATGAACTTTGTAACTGCATACATGATGCTCTTTGAAGTTGCCAACTTGCGAGCAGGCATGTCAGTGCTGGTTCATTCTGCAGGGGGCGGAGTGGTAAGTTTCACTTCTGTCCTATAAAGAATTACAACTTTGATTGTCAGTATTAATAATTGCTGCTGTTGTGGATTGTGCAGTTCCATCTTCTTATAAATTGAGAGGGCTAGATGTCAAAAAAAACCAACACCCCACATTAATGTCTTTTCTGCTCAAAAGAAAGTGTCTTCAAGGGGGTTACGTCATGTAAATAGAGGAAAAAGATACACGAATTTAAATTTTACTCTAAGTAGGATTAGATTTAAAACGTAGCAGTTACTGGAATTCAGTCTGCTTACCAGATTTTGTGTACTTTCATGCCATGAAAGTAATGAAATTTTTCTCTCCAGCCCAGTTTGTTGAAAGAAAAATGGCTCCTTGACCAAGAAAGTCTATAAAGACTTCCTTTCAGAATAAAATAGTCTGTATAATCTGAGAAGAAGAATAATTATTGACTTCTAATTTGTGGCTATTGGAATGAATATTGAAAGCTGGGTATATTAAAACTGAGAAAGAACAATAGGAGCTTCCAAAAGTGAACATATATGGACTTTCCATGTAGAAATAGAGATACTCAGTTGAGGAGGTTTTGGAATAATCTTAGCAGGATTTTATGAAAAATCTTTTTTAAAGGAGAGACATTCAATGATACGTCACATTTTCTTGAAGAGGAAGTGCTTTGGAAAAGAAAGATGTAAGCTTTACCTAGGCCAGTGATGGCGAACCTTTTAGAGACGGAGTGCCCAAAAATTAGCCCGCCCCCCAGCCCGCCCTCTGCTGTGCCCTCAGCTCCCCCCCCGCTCCGCCCGCCAGCAGGGCCTCTCATCACAGATCACCCAGGTAACCTTGCAGCACCATGGCGGCCATGCCCTCCGCCCACACCCCGCAGCATCATCTGCACGTGATGGGGCGTGAGGGCGGAGTCTTGCCCCTGCTTCCTGGCTACCATGTGCTTGTCTGCACTGCTCCGCGTGGGCTGTGCCTGGAGGGGCCTCTCTGGTCAGGCTGCTGGTGAGGGGGTTATGGGGGGAGGCAGGGCTGGGGCAATGGCGCACCTGCCCACAGAGAGGGCTCCGAGTGCCACCTCTGGCACAGGTGCCATAGGTTTGCCATAACTGACCTACGCCAAAATCTTGATCATATGAGTTACAAACTGCCTAACAAAGATAATACAATAATGGCCATAGCCAACATTCCCTTTATACTCTTGTTGCTCATGTTGAATGATTACTCCTGAGTCATTGCTACTAACTGTCTGGAATGTATAATCTCATGATATTGTAACTCGGTATAAACAAAGAAAATTTTTCTCAAATACTTTCTTCCTCCTACTATCCCACCTCACCTGCAAAAAAACCCACCCAAACACAGACCATTCAAATCATTTGAAGCCAGAAAAAAAAAAATTGAGTGCAAGAGAACTTTGGAAGGAGTTACTGAACTCCACAGGAGCACGACTGTTTGCAAATAACACTATGCAGTCATGTAATTAATAACAAACAGTGGCAAAAAGGTTAATCTGGAGACTCCCACACTAGCTCATGGTAGGAAAAACTGTTTCAAACTGTACTGCTGTACAGCAGTACAGTTTGAAACAAAGATTGCCTATAAAGCTGGTTTATGAAAAATGCAAGGGAGTAGGCATTGGACCTAGCCCCAAGAGAGCGATTTGTAGGCTTGTGAGGATAACATATTCCAGGGCTTTAATGTCTAGCAGGAGGAGGACAGCCAAAGTATCCAATTTATTTTCAAATGTCATGAGCATTCTTGAGCCATTGAGGAAAACAATGGAGGCCCTGTAGCCCAAGAATCTTGGACTTCATTTTGCATTAATAAAAAGTTCCATGTCATTGTTTCAAGTACTCCAAACATTCCAGGAGCACATGATCTCTTGCAATAACAAAAGGTGGGGGGGGGGGGAAGTCTTTTATAGTTTTGGATGAACTGATTTATGGAGAGCTCTCCATTGGTTGCTTAGATGGGTGAATGGTATGGTCATTCCTGGATGCAGCTTCTTCAGCAGGTGTTTTTTTCTTTTTTAAATTGTTCATTGGACATGAAAGCATTGGAGGCATGGCCCAGATTCCAAAGAAGCAGTTATACGGGTTTTTTTAAATTTTATTTTAAAGAGGAAAAAGCCTTACAAAAACAAATGCTTAGCATCCCTTGCCTATTTCAGCTGATTCTAAGTTTTGGCTATTCCAGTGCCATTTCTGTAATTCCAAAACATCTTTGTAACATCTCCTATGTGTGCCCACATTTGTTCTCAGATCTTCTGTGCCAAAATATACTGTTTTTCAACATTTCTTTTATCTAAACACAGTTTACAAGTAACTTTGAAAAAAAATAGTTCAAGAATTGCAAGCAGTGCTAACCTCGTATTGCCCAACGGTGGCATATAACATCGCATAAGGTAGCATTGCTTTTGAGGAGTAGGTAAATAAATAAAGAGCATATTGTCAGGTCAATTGTTGGTAGAGAGCCAATTCCAGAGGATCGGGAATGAACGATAAACACATTTGATCTATCCATGCAACTAATATACAAATGCATTTGTAGGGACAAGCTATTGCTCAACTCTGCTCAACAGTTCCCAATGTTACTGTCTTTGGAACGGCTTCTTCCTTCAAGCATGAGGCCATCAAAGAGTCTGTCACCTATCTGTTTGACCGAAATATGGATTATGTCCAAGAAGTTAAAAAGTAAGTGGGCGAGTTTGCATTTTAACTTGATAGGAGAAATTGTTAATGAGAACAGTAAGAAGCTAATGGAGGTGACAAGTAAGTTAATTTTGGAAAATAATTTTATTCTATTGAAAATGGTCTCTTAGAGTAAAAGATGGAAGAGTCTCACAATGGTCTTCTTCTTCTTCTTCTTCTTCTTCTTCTTCTTCTTCTTCTTCTTCTTCTTCTTCTTCTTCTTCTTCTTCTTCTTCTTCTTCTTCTCCTCCTCCTCCTTCTCCTTCTCCTTCTCCTTCTCCTTCTCCTCCTTCTTCTTCTTCTTCTTCTGGCAACTCTTAGATTGTATTTCTAGATAATGATGATGTGACCAGCTATCAATGGGAAATGAAGTGTTAGGAGGTCTCCAATAGGCTTATCACATGAAAATACTGAAGATAGAACTAAGGAGAAATTTCCTGACAGTTAGAACAATTAATCAGTGGAACAACCTGCCTCCAGAAGTTGTGGATGCTCTAACACTGGAAGGTTTTAAGAAGAGACTGGACAGCCATTTGCCTGGAATGGTATAGGGCTTCCTGCCTGAGGGGGGGTTAGAGTAGAAGTCCTCCAAGGTCCCGTTCAGTTCAGTTATTCTGTCATTATTCTGTTAATGTGATTATTTCCTTGTGCAAAATTCTCACGGCATTCTCTTTACTGAATCTTTCTTCTACATATACAGAGATAGTATTCAGGGAATCCAGATGTGGGGGGGGGGAGTTCTCCCTTTATCTATTTTTATGCATTTGTTTTTTAATAGATGTTTTTCTCTCCAGAATTGCATAGACCAGGGGTAGGCAACCTTGGCTCTTTTATGACTCGTGGACTTCAACTCCCAGAATTCCTGAGCCAGCTGTGCTGGCTCAGGCATTCTGGGAGTTGAAGTCCATGAGTCATAAAAGAGCCAAGGTTGCCTACCCCCGGCATAGACCAATCCTTCTCCATTTTTTTTCCCTACAGCAAACCTATGAGGAAAGTTGGGCTGAGACTTTGACTGGGTCAAAGTCCCTGCTCAATCAGAGATTTGAACTTAAGTTTCCTTGGGCATGGTCCACCTTAATTTTTGTTTCATTGGCTGGCTTGGATTTGCAAGCCAATAACATCTGTCTGAGTTGTTCTGTGGGTCACTCTCAAATAGCTATGAATCACACATTTGAACAGAAGCCTACTTTCTCCTAAGTAATGCATAGCTGTAGTTAGGTAAGCACAGCGTGCTTGTTTGTTTCTAATTTAGTGTATCAAACTCAGGCACCGTGTTTTGTACAGGAACACGGTTATGACTAGTGACATCTGCAGGAAGCTTTCTCCTTTCATCAGTGTTTCGTTGCAAAGCCTTGGGGCATATATACAACCACACTTGGAGAAAAAAGGCCGAGGTTGCATTGTATGACTTGTTTTGCCATTCTTCTCCCCATCTCCAGACATTGCTGGTTAGTCTTAGTCTTAGTCCACTGTGTGTACTTAATCAGGATTCTAGCTTGTTCAACAAACAGTGGTGCAATAGAATCTGCCTAACCCTAAAATATGGACATTTTCCTGCCTTTGTTCCTTATAAAGTTATTCTGCCTCTCTGCGTAAGTGGGTAGAAACTGGAATCCAGCAGCAGGATCTGAGTAGCACTTATTTTCTTATTAGAGCCTCATTTGTTCTCTTGAAGAGCAAATACATTATTATGTATCGTTACAGATGCAAAATAAAAGGTTTTGCCCTCCCTCCTTTTCTTTGCTTTCATTTTTTTTTTTTTAAAGAGTAGGTTAGTCAGCAGGCTTTTGTAAAAGAAAAGTGATCAAAAGAGATACTGTTAGATAGCACTCCTCAGCAATTGCTCAGGGTACAGGCAAAAATAGTAATAATGATGATGATAGTCTTGGCTCGTAACACACCAGATATAAGAAGAAGGAAGGGTGGATAATTGGTGTGGCAATAGCAGGAGGCAGTAGAAGAGAAAATTGGAGAAGAGAAGATCACAAAGTATCAAGAACTGAAAACCGAAGTTGAACGATTATAGCAAAAATTGGCTGCGACGGTCCCAGTGATTATTAGCCCACCAGGTGGCATACTTACAGAATCTGTGCATTGACATTCTGGTTTTCTTTAACAAACAGACCATGGTTTGCAAGAACTGAGTGTGCACAGCTATCTTTCTGAAAGATGGATTTCCGTTCTTCTCCAAGCTTGCTGATACTTCTGCTTTTTGTGATTGTTACTGTTTTGGTTGTAGAGCAGTGGTTCTCAACCTTTTTAATGCCGTGACCCCCCAACCGGCCGTAAGTCGAGGACTACTCAACTGGTCGTAAGCCAATAGAATAAAAGGGAGTAGCACAGCTAAGGAAAGGGGGGGGAAATGGCGGACTGCGTTGTTTGGCGACCCTCATGAAATGGTCATTCGACCCCAAATGGGGTCCCAACCGACAGGTTGAGAACCATTGTTGTAGAGCCTAAAATTGGAAATAGAAGGATTTGTGAGATGTTTGATGACACAGCAAACATGAGCTAATCTGCAAATTGTTCTCAACAGAGAGACCCCACTGTACAGATCACAGGGTTGCAAAATAATTCCTTCTCTTTAGAAGCATCCAGATGGTAGGGTTTAGCACCCCAAGAGACCCATCCATGTTCTTTACTCAGTATGGAAAATAGGACAAATTACTTGGTCTTCTGTCTGTTTTGCCTGTGTCTCTTGATCCATAACTTTCTTTGTACAGGGATACTTTCTGCCATTTCAAAATTTGGTTTCGCTGATGAGGCTGAAACCGGCAATTCCGCCATTGTTTTAAAAATACAGGTTACTTTTAAGGGGGAATGCAGAATTAAAGTGAGCTTTATAAACAATTTGCTATAGCTTAATAAGGCCAGATAGCATCCTAATCCTAGCGAACTATTTGCATGTAATATAATTCCATCACTTTCTCTGTCATCAGATGCCCACTGCTCTTCCTGTTTCTAAAAAAAAAAGTTCATAATCTAGGTCAGTAGGTTTAACCTATATCCTCATAACTGCTATTAACCAATTTCAGACAATAATTGTCATGAGATAAACGATGGAAGTTATTTGATGCACCTTATGCCTTTTAGGCTCCATGGAGTACAATTATCCATAATGAGCGCACCAGTGATTTTCATAATTATTTAATTGAAGTGAGCTACTGAAACAATCTTTTAACAACGGCTATGGAGGGTGACGCATACATCCTATGTAACTTTAGACAGAGAATGGTTGAAGCCAGTGTTTCACAGATTTGGTTAATGTAAGGCAGAAACCTGACAACCTGGTGCCACCCAGATTCTTTGGGTTTCATTGTTCATCAGCTGCCTCCATTGGGACTAATTGCAAAAGATTTTTAGGCCAGAGTTCTGGCAGGCTGAAAGTTGTGGACTTAAATCTACAACATGGAATTTGATTTTTGAGGATATGCACTGAAGTGGGCTTCACATTGCACATTTATCTCTGATCTTTCTGTGTGTAAGTGGCTCTAAGGAAGCTCACAATGAAACTTGAAATAATAATGTGCATTTGCTCTCTTGTGGAAAGCTTTCTACCTGGCACTCTCTTCCATGCAAATGGACCATCCAAAACATCTGTTGGCTACAGCCTAATTTTATGGGGCTCTTGGCTTAATTTTTAAGAATGTCTACAAAGATGTTGAGACTTCTTATAGAAACTGTTCCTCCTTTAGCTTAGGGCAGGGAAGAGAAAAAGCAGGGTGGGGGAAAGAAAGATCAGAATGAGTAAAAGGAGAGTATCAAAAGCAGGAGTGAGTTTTGTTTTTTTCTTCACCTCTATATAGAGAAGTATGTTCTCTATTTTCTAAATACTGTAGATGGTCTTTCATTTTAATTGGTTGCAAGATAAAAAGTTGAACAACTCTGACTTGTAGGTTCTTACCAATCTATTACCCTATAAAAGTAGAGGAAAGAATTATTTATCATGAGAGCAAACAAAATATCCCTGTGCACAAGGGGGCAGTATCAGCAATAGTAAAGAGAACTTCACCTTTGAATTTAAGACAGCTCCTGGTGACTTCATAGATACACCTTTGAGTTTTCATGGCGACAGTAAAGAAGTAGGCTGTCTTTGTTTTCTTCTCTAACCCTTAAAAAAACCTCCCAGTCTAGCTACAACTCTTTCATTTTAAGCTTTCCCATTCAAGCACTACGTAGATGTGACCTTGCATATGCTTTCAATATCAGCAAAGTTGGCCAAATCGTTCTACCAGCTGGACTGCTGTTCTTATCTCCGCAGAAAGCCATGGATTACTCCAAACCAAATATTTTAATAGTTGACCTTAATGCATTAACTTTCTCATCCGCTACAAAGACCTTGTAGAGGGCATTGGGAATGGCCTTGAAAGACAGGAGGAAGAGCCACTATCAAGGCAAGGAGCAGATAAGCAGGATTTGAATCCATTTCAAGAAAGTAATTTGAGAAAATGTCTCAGATAAGCTTCTTGGAAGAGAAGGAGTGGCAGAGTCTGGGGGCAGAGTTAAAAGAGAGATCAGCCTAGAATCCCTACGTAGCCACAAGTAGATTAAGTCCAACTTAAGTCCATGACCGTTAGTTGAGAAGATTCCTGTGTATAAGCTATTTAGCAAAAAATCAGTTTAATTGGAGCTTCATGTATAGATCTGGCCCTTTCCTAGTTGACATAAAGATGGGGAACAGCACAGACTCTCAAGATCCTGTTATTATAGCTGTTCTAATGTAAGAAGCCCTGACTTCCATGATAATAGTTTCTTTCTCTGTTGGGCTGACAGCTTTCTACACATTTAATTAAAGAATGGAGGAGTAGCATAGTTCTTCTCGCCTCTTAAAAACAGAATAAATTTGAGTGATGGGTAGACTGTAGACCAATACATGAAGAGAAAGGATCAACTCAAACAGTGGCTAAAGTGGAATGTCTGGGGGGGGGGGGAAATACTCAGATAACATGATGGGAATTCTAAGGAGATCTTGTAGATTCAGTATTTGTGGAATTGTGTCTTCATCTCCCCAGGGCCAGCCTAGCATCTGATACACAGGTAGTCCTCATGTAACAACTGTCCTGTCTACTGACTGTTCAAAGTTACGATGGCATTGGGTAGCAAGTATCTTCACAGTGTTTCTGTGCTTTGTAGGATCTCCGCAGATGGTGTAGACATTGTCCTGGATTGCCTTTGCGGTGAAAATACTGGTAAAGGCCTCAGTCTACTCAAACCACTTGGGACTTACATTTTATATGGTGAGTAAAATTCAAAAGCTAAATAAATCCTGAACTTCTTAAGAATCGCCATTCCACTGGAGCTGTTCTCGTTGATTTCTAATGAGTGGTTGCCTGGAAAATTCTGTTACTGTTTCAAATATCAACTGAACCTGAACTGCAGGAGGAGAAATAAAAAGATGACAGAAATAGAAGAGAAGGGATATGAAAGACACCTAGGACCAATTTATCTACGTTGGCCATCCAGGCTGTCTTTTTTTCATATGATCATACTTGAAGTCCTTCTTTGTGCTAAGGTGTTCTCTTGCTCTTGAAGAAGCATAAATTATGTTTTAAATTGAAAAGAAATGTTAACTGTTAAGCATGTTGATTGATAGCATGGAACTCACAGAACCTTGGGCGATAGTCTATCAAAGGCATCAAAATTTTAAATTTGATGTTTGCACAAATTTTCCCTCTTTCTCTCCAAGGATCTCATTTCATTATGTTATAATAAGCCAGACAAGTCAAACTTACTCCAATTTCTTATTAAAACCAAAACATTACAAATTTACATCGAGCGTAATCAAACTTATCATGAAAAGGTCTTCTTTGCTCATCAGCTGCTTCTTTCTCAGCATTCTCTGAAACTAATGAGGGACAGAGCAGATATCATAAGATCTATTAGACTCTACCTCATTTTCCTTCATTGTGTTGTACCTAGAATACTGCAGAAGGACATCCCAGGGACATGGAGTCTAGGGCTCCTATGTCCTTGAGATATCATCTTGCCAGTAACATGACTCACCCAAAAGAGGATGAAAATCATGCACACTGTTTGCCAGAAGACTTGCAGCATTAATGCTGAAAGCTCCACTAGATAAGGAGTGCATGAGTTAGGCGTTCGTTCTATGGCCCTAAGAGTAGCAGAAGGTTATTTGGGGAAAGACAGTTGGAGTTTTCTCCTTCTGATGGCATCATTAAGAGCACAACATGTGAGTCGAATTAAACCCCAACAGTAGACAAGACAGCCTTTTTCAATGAGACCTTTATGGAGAACCAGAGACGTTGTTTTATGATTTTGACACAGGATATCAATATTCTCCTGCTTTATCCTTGTGACCTATAGATCTACTTCTGTGCTCACATTTCTTCTTTTGCTTTACCCCCTCTCTTCATTCTTGTCACTGTTTTCTAGGCTCATCAAACATGGTTACTGGGGAAACCAAAAGTTTCTTCAGCTTTGCCAAATCAGTAAGTATAAGGCCTTTCTGGTTTTGTTAGAGCTTATTTGTATGTGCCGGGCTCCAAGTCTTCTTTTCCTTGCTGTTTCCTCCCCTCTCTGCCTTTAACAGCATGACTCGTCTTTTGCAGACTCAGATCTAAACTAGGCATTATCTGCAGTGGAGGTAGGAATGTTCCATTAGGTTTGTTACCGTATTTTCCGGCATGTAGGACGACTCGGTGTATAAGACGACCCCCGACTTCGGCGCTGATTTCCATGCCTAGAAAGTCATCTTATATGCTGGAAACTACTGTAATTTCTGGCGTATAAGACGACTCGGCATATAAGACGACCCCCGACTTCGGCGCCGATTTCCATGCATTAGAAAGTCATCTTATATGTCAGAAAATATGGTAGTTCCTTATTTGTACCCATAAAGAAATGGCAAGGAGGTGTTGCTTAAATCATTGAATCCTTGTGTATTTTAATATTGATTTGTTGAATAACCATATGTGCTTAATTTACAAATCTCAGTGAGCCACAACCTTTTTTTAATGGCTAGGCATCATGGCTGAATTCAAATATTGTATTAATGCAGAGGTGTACAGTTGCTACTTCTTGTACCTTTTGTGGCCCAGTAGGAGCTGCATTTCGAAAGTGGAGAAAATCAAGCTCTGCAGGGGTGGGGAAGCATTAAGGTGTGAAAGGGCGTCTTAAATTTCCAACAATTTTGCTTTTAATCTCACAACCAGTTCCAAAAATGTAAAAAGAAAATCTTGAACAATTTGACCATCCATTCTGGGAGCTTTGAAAGGGTTGGTGGGCTAAAGTAAAGTCAAAAATGTTCATCCTGCAATGGCTTCACTTTCATTGGCTAAAAAAGTAAAAACGTAAATCAAAGTACATTGTCACAAAATGATTGGATGGATGGATGGATGGATGGATGGATGGATGGATGAATTGAATGATGTCTGAACATCCTTACTAGGTTCACACTGGCTAATCCATTCTAGTCTTTCACTTTGGCTTAGTGTGTCACTGCAGATTCAGCCATTGTGGTTTTTAAACTGTTATGTATGGTCTAGGGTGATTTATCAACCAAGCCATGGTGTCTTCTTCATTATATTTAACTCTGGCTTATTGCAATGTGGGAACCCATTCAGTTTTCTCCTAACCTAGATTTGAGAAGGAAGAGTTTCTCCTTTTTTATGTGAAAGTTGAGAGAGCAAGCTAGTAGGTCTTAGGAGCAAAAGGCTGAGACTGAAGTGCCTGTATCTTAGTGGTTCACCTGGATTTACCTTCGTTTCATGGTTGTTGCTTTTTTAAATTCTCCAGTATGCTGAAGCATTGAAGTTCGTGCTTCAGCTCCTCTGGCCTCCTCTCTCCTGTACATTGAGTGCCTGTGTGAGTGAGTGAGTGAGTGAGTGAGTGAGTGAGTGAGTATGGGGTACATCATGCATCTCCAGTATAATATGCACATGGAATACCTTGGTTCTAATCTTGATACAACTTGTGTGCCCTTAGTGGTGGCAAGTGGAGAAAGTAAATCCTATCAAACTCTACGAAGAAAACAAAGTCATGGCTGGATTTTCTCTGTTGAACCTGCTTTTCAAACAGGGCCGAAGTAGCCTTGTCACTAAAGTAATGGACAATCTCATAAAACTTTACAACGAGAAGAAGATCAAACCAGTGATTGATTCACTGTGGGCACTGGAAGAGGTAAGGTCTTATTTTTTTTTCCTTCCTTTCCTGATATATTTCTTTTGGTTTGTTTTTTAAACAATGCATTATTAAAATATATCATAGACATTTCATCTGCACACTTCAGATATCAACACTGGGAGCATTGGGATTTTATAAGTGTGTATTTTTAAAATGTAACTCATTGCATAGAGATGAAAAAAGCAAGGATCCCATTTCCTGGTTTTATGTTCAAATGATTTAATTATTAGCATACACAGTGTAGCTTGTTTAAACATTGGCATTTCCTATTTTTTAAAAAAACTTGAATGCTTTTCGGTCATGTGTACTTTGCTGTCAGTTGTATCTTACTATGGATTTTCTAGCTTATTGTCACAAAAAGCTTATACGCAATGCTTGTAGACATGGCAGCCTTCCCATAGAGTGTTGGACAAGACGTACTATAAATGTTTCAGCCAGCCATGCTGGTTAAAGGTGGGATGCTTTATCTGGCATAGAATTTTCCAACCTGAACAACTTCCATTAAGTATTGACTTCAATTCCCAGATCACTCAGCAATGGCCAGGATGAATAGAGAATTCTTGGACTTAGTACAAACATCTGAAATTTGCCCAGGTTAAGAAACATTGGTCTAGCACACCTGGAGATCAAAAGGCAGACATGGGGAAAAACAGGTAGGAAAAGAGCCCCAGCCAAGGGCAATGCTTTACAGAGAAAAGAACTCAGGCTGAATGGGTCAAAAAGAAAAAAAAAGTGGACTGAAGAAAGAAGTGAGGACTTAGGTAGAAAAAGGTTAGTATCTTGAGGGGGAGTTAAAGACTTGAGAAAGGACATCTAAAAACGTCATGCTTTGTTGTGTCCCGTAATGAGAATATCGATTTATTTATTAATCAAATTTATATCCTTGACCATCTCACAGAAAGTGACTCTGGGCTCCATACAGTAAAATCAGTAAATGAATAAGACAATCATTAGTTAAAACCATTACTTAAATATTAAAAAAATGAGAAATTATAAAAGCAGAAACAAAAAAAGAGACTAATAGACAGATGGATGTTAATAATAAGGGAGCCACCTCTTGAGTTTCCCCCTCCCCTGGGGCTCCCAGGCCCGCTGCCATAATATGAAAGATATATTAAAATAAGATCTATTGGAATAAGCCTTCAAGAAAATGTATAAGTTTTAGTGCAGGTTTTAAAAATGTAAGATAAGTAGGCATGGGGCAAAACAAAATTGGGAAATTAGAAATGGAGTGAAACCTAAAGAGTCATAGACGTTCTTATGCTTGTTTGTAAGTGGTGTCATGCTATCTTACAAAATAACATTCTTCCATTTGTTTGGTAACACTTCATACCATTTGGCAGCAGTCTCTCCTATCACTCTGACATTAGCTTGAGAAGTAGATAAATACAGTCTGTTCAAGACTATCATCTAGCTCATTCATCAAACCTACTCACTGTCATCTGGTGGGGAAATTAAAAAAACACATTAAACCTTATAATTATCCTTGTCCTTTCCTTTCCTCCTTAAGATATACATTTATTTTTCAATTATCAGTCTGAGGTTTTTCCTGAGTTGCCACATTAAGAGTGCTGTTGTCATTTCATCATTGGAATCTAAGGGTCTCAGAGATTACATAGCAAAAAATAAAATAAAACAATAAAATAAGGTAAAATAAAACCATCAAGGCTCATCAGCTGTATGGATAGACTCTATCAAAGCCCCTAATGAATCAGAACACACCTCCACCCAATCAGAACACAGCCAAGCTTCCATCCAATCAGTTCATACCCCCACTGGCAGTTAAAAGGAAGAAACAGCTACGATCACACATTGTTCCTAGAAGCACGAAGCCGAAAACACCAGCCTGAAGATGATGAATGGGACTTTGTTGAAACGTTGCCAAGACACTTCCAATTTTACGCGGGAGAAAACCTGAATAGCCAAAGACCTACATACAAACACCCGCGAAAACCTCAGAAAACACACACACACACACATACACACACACACACACACAAACAAATGAATGATGTAATCTGCAAGCAGTTTTCAATCCAAATTTCCAATTGCCAATGCAGAGAAATCACACAAAACATTTCCTGTGAAGATTCAAGTAGTTAAGAAAAAGCATTGAACGAGAATCAGCTTTCAGGACCCTGGACAGATCATTAGGAGTTGAACACTCGGGCCCAGCTAGTTTTTGTTCCAATTGAGGCCACAGGGATGTTTGAAATCTTCTGCTCTATACTCCTCCAAGGCTCAATCAACCATCTCCAATTGAAGCTACTCTCAAGCATTTTGTCTTAGATTCCCAGCTGGTACTGCAAAGCATGAAATTTTCTGACGGGAGAGATTCTAGTTTGTCTCAAAGCCAGTCTTGTAAGTGAAGGGTCTGCAGACCCTGAGGGACTTTGAATCTACTACTTTCGTTATTGATTGTTCTCTCTGCCTTGTGTGTTTCGAATTTCTGGCCTAATACAATATCATGACTGTTCTGCTATGAGGTGTTTTTACTGACAACTGACTGTGTGAACAAATACCACAGGTATCCGTGGGAAATAAAACCTAATAACTACATCCATCTATATCAGTTATGTATGGGTGGATATTAACTCAGTATGTTGGTTGCTTTATTATGGTAAAGTTCACATTGTCAAACTAAATGTTAGAAATAGAAGACTGATTTTGTTAATTTTCTCCCCTAAGGTTTGCTGCTAAACTAATGAAATGTACTGTACATTCATGCTTGATATTTCCATGACAACATTTCCTTTGTCATGCAGATCAATCTCTCAGTGGGAAAAAGACCAAGGAGAGTGATGTGCTAGCATTCCACTTTGTCATTTGCTTTGCAATGTGAAACTGTCTTCCTGTTCTGGTTTCACTATTAAGTAAACATTGGATGTTCAAAGTCTACTAATAAATTTGGATGATGGATCAGCGCTACCCCTCTTATTTTCTTCCAGCACAGCAGTGGCTCCTGTAATCAAGTGAGCTGGCTTCAGAAGCGATCAGCATTAGTAGAAAACTGAGCTTTGAGTGTGCCTATCAATTTACCATTATTATTTTTGGCAAATTTTGGTAAGAAGAATTAAAGTAGGAAATATTTATAAGCCTGGAACCAACCAATAAGAACTCATCTTTGAAGGTGAATGTTAGGAACAAACTGTCAGTTAGATACTAAGAATGACAGAGGTTATCTCAGTTTACTCAACTTGAAATTAACTATAATAAAAATAGAGAGAGATGGGATTATCTACACCAGGGGTCTTCAAACTTGGCCCTTTTATGACTTGTGGACTTCAACTCCCAGAATTCCTCAGCCAGCAGAATTCTGGGAGTTGAAGTCCACAAGTCATAAAAGGGCCAAGTCTGAAGACCCCGTGGTCTACATCATCTGGCAGAAACAATATTTCTAAATATTCACAGCTCTGGACAAATTCTAATTACTAATTAAATTTAAGAACAAAACAGATGTAAGCCAGGATCCCAGTGCTCATCCATATATCCATTACTTTCCAGAACCTTTAAAGTTGCCTTTACCCTCAAATTTGAAAAAGCCTTTAGGAGACATTTAGAGAGGTTTTGATTTAGAGAAAGAGTTTGTTTTTTCTTGTGACTGTAATTCCACCACCATCACGGTGTATGTACATTTTAATCTCCACTAGAATGTGACACATTATGATCAGTTTGTTCCTTTGTTCTTGCCAGTGGAATTGTGTACCCAGGTGGAATCTAATTTCATTGCTTAATATGTGCGCAGGAAATAGCATTTCCCTATTTGAAATTGAATCCTTGGTGGTTTTAATCTATCAGCAAGGGTATTTTAAATTGGTGCTCCAATTTAAAATGTTACTGTTCATTTCTGAATAGTTAAACAGGGAGGTTACTATACTACTTAGAAGGAAGAAGCAGGAGGTGGATTTGCCAGCCTGTTCCAGTACTGATAATGTTACCTAGTTTGGTAATAAAATGTCTGCAAGAGAACAGCCAAGATCAAAGAGTGCCAAGGACTCCACAATTCAACCCTGAGCTATAAATATTCTTTTCTATCTGTAATGTAGCATTTTGTTCAAATATGCCCTAAGTAGAGTTAGGATTTTTTTTCTTTTTACAGTTGTACCATGTGTATTTGATTATCTGGATTCCAAAATTCATCTCATCAATGATTCTATGAAAATGCTAATAACATTTTCTTGTTTCGTGGCTTCTACCAAACATTTTGCTCTGTGCTGGTTTTTAAATGACTATTATTACTGACTTTTATGCCAGGCAGCTGGTGCTGCAGACTGACTTGTTTCATTACTTTGTAGTTTAAAAAAATGATAAGAATAAACTCCAGCAGTTCTCTGCCAAAAGCCTAACTCTGCATGAAAAAAACCAAGAGTGTTAATATTTTAGAAGGATGAGCAAAACATTTTGGAATTCAAATATGTATTGGCTACATGATTGAATTCTACACATGATTTCCCATAACCCCCTCTCTCAGCCACTCTAAATGTAATATATTCCCCCTTAGCATTGTGATGCAGAAGGTCAAATATAAACCTTATTGATATTTGAGATATTACCCCTGGTGTAAAATGTCATTGCCAAGATATTAATAGTGACAGTTATAATGGAGCACACAATCCTGGTCATGAAAAAGCAATTATGGTTGTTAAATTCACTGTGCTGCTGTTGACCTAGACCTAGTCTCACTTGCAGGTATAGGGAGAATTATCTTCTTTGTGTTCCAGCTTTCCCATGTTCTTAAATATAACAGGAAAGTGGAAGGTCAATCTGATAGTCCCACTATTCAGAATGACAAGTGGTGGGATCTTCGTTGTAGTGGTAGCAATTGAAGTTTTGAAGGGAAGGGAGAAAATTGTTAAGGTATCTGAGAATTGCAGTTCTATTGAACAATATTTGTTGCCTTTCTCTTGTAGCAGCTAGGCAAAAAATGGCTATACCATGGGCAATACTAATTTTATGGTCTGCTGAAAGATAGGAGATGTATTATTGGCTGTCTCTTC